TTATTTGATTATAAAATTTACAACTAACCTTATCTTCTCACTTTTCTCTCTCCTTACCACCTATGCGTTCTAAAAAGGCTACCTTACCATTCTCTTTTTCTCTCTAACTCAATTACTTTAGGCTATTCCTCCTAATTCTTGAATACCCATGGCAACTGGGAGCCTACTCCCATACTCCTCCATCTTTAAGAATAATTGACAAGCTAAACATGCGAAATGAAGATTCTAAAGAAACCCAAAATGTAGAGAGCAATCCAAGAGACTCTAGAAAACTCCACGACATTCTAGGAAAAACTAGAAAGAAGTAAAATATTCCAAAGAATTCTAGAAGGTTCCACATAATTCCAAAAATATGCTGAAGGAAGCAAGATTCAAGAAAATTCTAGAATCATATATATTTATGTAAAGAATAATGTAGAACTTTCTAGAAATTAATGTATTCTTATGTAACCCAGAAGTTTACCTTTGGCTTGGAGGGGATTTTAAATAGGAGTCCCGCCCCTCATTTGTATCCATCCAAGAAAGGATCCAAGAAAACCAACAAAGCTTTCAAACTTTCAAGTGTTGTTCTTCTTTCTTAGTGAAGTATTCTTTTCTTTAATACTCCTTCCTATTCTTCTTCTTAGAATGTTTTGTGCTTACAAGATCTAGCGTTATGAGGGTTAGGTTGATTTAGTGTCAAGGAAGAGCGCTAAAGCCGCACAAGTAACTTGAGATAAGTTAATCTGTGACAGTTGGTATCAAAACCTCAGTTTAAAGGTATGACAAAAAACGTCAGAGAACACGTAATGAAGTCCAAATCCACTAATGTAGAATCATCTCAACAGAGCGAGGTCATAAGGAACAACGAGATCCCGCTGCATTCAAACCACATGGGAAGTTCAAGGAGATCATGCACGGCTTTGATTCGTGCCTTGCTCGGGTAGAGGAGACGATGAATGACGTGGAGGCCCAGATAGAGTCTTGACCAAAAGGTTGATGGACTCGAGGAGGATATCACAATCCATTCAACGATCAGAGGTATGACACTCCAACTGGAGGGATCCTTAAGGGATCAAATGGCTAAGATGCGGGAGGATTTGATGAGGGAGCTCCAGGAGGTACAAAAAGTCCATCAGGATGAGATGAGCGGTGTACATGCTAGCTTGGAGGAAATGCGTGGAGACATCTTGCTATGCAAGAGGGCACTAGAGACACCCACAAACCATTACACTTTCGAAGCTGAGAGGATTGAAGTTCCAAAAGCAAAAAAGTTTTGAAGGAGCTCGCAACGTGAAGGAAGTAGATAACTTCTTATGGGGACTTAAACAATATTTCGGAGCGATGGAGATTACAAATGAAGATGCAAAAATACAATTTGACCTCTTTATCTCTCGGACATTGTTGTGTTGTGTACAAGAAAACGTGGAGATATAGAGAAAGGTGTGCATTATATTCACTTTTGATGAATTCAAAAGAGAGTTAAAGAGGTAGTTCTATCCCAAAAATGCGGTGGATGAAACTAGGGCCTGACTACGAAGGCTCAAGCAAACGGGATCGATTTGGGAATATATTACGGAATTTACTAGCCTGGTTCTTGAAATTTCTGACATGTCTGACGAAGATGTTCTTTTCAACTTCATGGATTGACTCCAATAGTGGGCAAAGACTGAGCTTAGGAGGCGCGGAGTGCAAGATTTTGCCACTGTCATTGCGGTCACCGAATGCTTTGTTGATTACTCAAGAAAGTCCACAAAGCCAAAGGATAAGAAGAGTACATATGTCAAAGAAGGGGAAGAGAATGATCAACATAAGGAGGAGAGTCGTTGCGAATCGACCCCATCCAAGGCAAAAGACAAATGGAAGTCTAATAACAAAATAAAATCACACAACAAATGCTTTCTTTGTGGAGGACCTTATTGGGCAAGGGGTTCCCCTCAGAAGAAAGCTCTTAACTCTCTCCTTGCTAGCCATCAAGAGGAAGAAGGTGATGATGTGGCAGTACAGGTGGTCTATACAACTGCTTAATGAGCTGCAAGCTTCAGCAAAGCTCCAATTAAAGGGGTTACTCTTTGTGGAGACGGTAATGAGCGGGAAGACCACTAGGGTAATGGTTGACAAAGGTGCTTCCCATAACTTCATCTCCGCCAAGAAAACAAAGAGATTGGGTTTGCAGATGTTGAAGGAGAAGGCTCCATCAAGGTGATCAATTCAACACTAAGTCCAATCTATGGAATATCCAGGGGAGTAAAAACCAATATTGGAGCGAGGTCAGGTACTTTAGACTTATTTATCATTCAGATGGATGATTTTAAAATTGTTCTAGGGATGAACTTCTTGGATCAAACAAGAGCATTCACAATGCCCTTCGACAATTGCATGTGCATCTTGGAAGGGAATCAAGCTTGCTTATTACCTATAACAGGGGCTAACAAGTAGGAAGTCAAAGTGCTATAGTCAATCCAATTCAAAGAGGGCATTCCAAAAAAAAGGGGGAGTTACTTGGCTGTTCTTCACAAAGAAGTGAAGCTCCAAGAAGGCATGCCAAAGGAAATGGTGGAGGTTCATAAAGAACTACCACCAAGGAGAGAGAAAAATCACTCGATTAGGCTGGAGCCAAGGACTAAGCCGCCAACCATGAAGTCTCACTGCATGGCAATCATCCCCAATACCGCCAAGAAAAAACCTAAGTTTGCCAAGAGCAAACAAAGTATGACGGTCTAAGTGTCAAGGGGAAGTCACAATGAGAGCATTGCGAGTTTAAGTGGGGGAGAGTGTCACGCTTCACCATCTTCAAGAATAATTGACAAGCTAAACATGAGAAATGAAGATTCTAAAGAAGCCCAAAATGTAGAGAGCAATCCAATGGACTCTAGAGATTCCACGACTTTCTAGAAAAAACTAGAAAGAATGAGAATATTCCAAGGAATTCTAGAAGGTTCCACATAATTCCTGAAATATACTGAATGAAGCAAGCTTCAAGAGAATTCTAGAATATTCTGGAAAATTCTGGAATCATATATATATAAAAATTAATGTAGAACTATCTAGAAATTAATGTATTCTCATGTAATCTAAAAGTTTCCCTTGGACTTGGAGGGAGCTATAAATAGGAGTCCCTCCCCTCATTTGTATCCATCCAAGAGAAGATCCAAGGAAACCAACCAAGCTTCCAAGCTTTCAAGTGTTGTAGTTTTTCTTTCTTAGTGAAGTGTTCCTTTCTCTAATACTTCTTCCTACTGTTCTTCTTAAAGTGTTTTGTGCTTACAAGATCTAGCGTTGTGAGAGTTAGACCGATTTAGTGTCAGGGAAGAGCGCTAAAGCCACACGAATAACTTGAGATAAGTTAGTCCGTGACGCTACGGTGGTTCGTGAAGGAGAAAGAGGAGTTTGTAGAGAGCTAAATAAATAATAGCTCAAGTCATGCTCAAATCTTATTCGAATCATGTTTAAAATTCTGTTCATTTTTTTTTTCAAATCATGTATAAGGTTTTGTTCAACACATGTTAATGATTTTGCCGAAATTTGTGTTTAAATTTTGTTCAAGATTTACTCAACTCTTGTTCAGATTTCGTTAGCAAAATCTTATTCAAAATTTGTTTTAATTTTTAATTTAAGTCACATTCAATTTTTTTTAGCAAATTTTTCTTAAATCTCATTCTAATTTTTATTTAAGATTTTAAGCACTTCATGTTCTAAGTCATATTAAGTTTATTAAAAAAATTATCTAAATCTTGCGATCCCTTCTCTTGCACGCGTCAAAATTTGTCGCAGAGCTTTGTTGCTTCTCTTCTCTTTTGGGCGGTGTCATCTCTACCGCGCACAATTCGCCTTCTGCACAAGCACACCTATCACGCATGGCTCCAATGTTCTCTGCATATGTCGAAGCCAACCCCCACCCTTGGGCTAAGGTTCAAAGCCTGTCCTGCACGACACTTCTTATTCTCCCTGAAATTTATCTTCGGTTTGTTAAATCCTCTTTTTTTTCTTATTTCTTTTGTATTTCTCACTGTCTCTTTGCTCTTTCCTATCTAATTTCTTGTGAAGTGAGAAGTTAGTCTCTTAAGTATAAACATAGAGATGATTATTCCCTTTCGTACTAGCCCATCAATTATTTTTTTTTATTTTATTTTATAAAATTATTATTATTGAAAGTTGTATGATGGATGACGGGAGTGGGAGGATGGATGACAACTGAAATTCGGCATCCGGCTAGACAGCTAACTGGAAGCGGGAAAACGACAGTTTCCTATTGTAAACTGCAGGGGCAGCTGTTTCAGCAGTCGTATTGCTGAAAACAGCGGGGGAGCGGCGAAATAGCGAGGTGCGAGGATTCACAACCTGTTTTTGGGCAAGGTAAAGACACAACACTTGTAAAAGGAAAAGACTACAAAACTCAGGAGTGTGTAACTCAGAAAAACATTGAAAATACAAAGTTAAGCTGAAAATCCAACAACCTATATAAATGTTCCCTAATAGAAAATAATCGAATTAGAAAATAGAGAAATAGAAAAAAACTAGAAAAGCAATAAAAATAAAGGGAAGTTGCTGCAATTAGAAAATAATTAAAAAAGGATTCCATAGATTGGAAAGTTTCTTGCGCGATCGCCAGATCCGAAGTATGTGGAATTGTGCAATCGCGAGCACGGAAATTCCGCTTTTTGCGTCACGCATCAGTCCCTGTTTTCTGACATGAAAAATACCTACCCGATTAACGTCGGCTATCATTAAGCATGCCCATGATTCTTTTCCTAGAAGTTATTGTCACTTGCATCCGATGCAAGCAGGTTAACGACCCATGGTGTATAAATCTCGCATAGATGTATAACTAATGAGCACTGAGGCTTGCACGTTGACCATATATCATGAAGGAGCAAGCAAATCAATTCTATTTTTTTTAATGTGGCTGTCTTCTTTCTTTTGTTTCCAGTTCCTTATCATCTATGTTTTGATTTCCAGTTCAGTATAACAGCCTTTTGTATAATGTGATTGTCTCTTACTCTAATCACCTTTTTCAATAGGTGGGTATTGTTGAAGACATAAAAGCATCAATGCTTGAAGAGGTTGACTTTCGGAAAGAAGCTGTAAATATTGAGACTTTCAGAAGATATTTAGAGACCATGGGACTTGAGAGACAAGCCAAAGCTCCAAAAGTTTATCAGCAATGTAGCACCAGGCGCGTGCTGACAATGGAGAGGCTCTATGGAGTTCCTATCACTGATCTTGATTCTATAAATTCACTTGTTCCTGATCCAGAGACGAGTCTGATCACCGCCCTTAATGTTTGGTAAGATGCTTGGCTTGCAATTTCTAGGGGCATATACGTACATCCGACCCAGTTTCTATGTATTTTCATATCTAATGCCTGAACTTTTGCATTTTACATTCATACGACCTAAATCTTTCAGATCAGATAAAAAAATACAGCTATTTTAACATTTGGAGAGTGAAATACAACTTTCAATGCATATGTAGGGTGACACATGTGTAAAAATTAAAGTTAGATATATAAATACATAAGAATTGTTTGCTTTGTATATAAATTTCTTTTTTCCATTGCAATTTGTATTTCATCTGTAGCATTTCCTTCAATAATAAGTCAATTAAATTCTTAAAGATTTTGCCACTTTTGATCCAAACTTTTTGTATGCATGTTTGTGAAAAAGCTATATTTTCATCTAAAGAGCAATTGGGATGCTATTGTGTAGGTTTGGAAGCTTAATTGCATGCGAGACCTTCCATGCAGATGTACATGCTGGAAACTTATGGTTGCTTCGTGACGGTCGCATTGGATTCCTTGATTTTGGTCTACTCTTTTCTAACTCAGCTCCTGTTTTTAAATTGGCTACTTGTACTATAGATGTTTAAACCTTATTTTTAAAACATTCCCCAGAGTAGGTATTAACCAAGTTGAAAAATGCATCAGAATATTAAGATATTCCTTATCCATTCTACTGATATATAAATTAAGCTAGAGTTCTTAAAATAATGTTTCACGTGCGTTATCTCTTTTTTACGTATGAGTTTCACATATTTTATGGGATTTGTTCCTTTTTGGAAAATGGTGAAATCATTAATTATTTGGGGCAATTGCATGCAGACTACTCAAAACTTATTTTTTACAAATCAACCACCCTCTTTCATCCATTTTTCAAATTCTCACTCAAATATCAAAATTCATGGTAAAATCCCAACCCATATTTTTCTTCATTTACCCATATTTTTCATTTTTATCAAATTCTCAATAGTTTGATTTTGGCATGCGTAAATATATCGATTTGATAGTTTAAAAAAATCACCTGGGTGATTAATTTGTAAATATCAATGTTTCAGGCGGTCTATATATAATCATCCCTAATTTTGTTTTTTACATGGTGATATATTAAATAGATAGTGTTATAGAAGATCTTTTTGAAATTTAGAACTTGAACTGGTTTGGCCATTGTCAACAGACTTCAGCCCTCTTTTTCAGAGCAACTTAAAACATATGCTATAATTTTACGCTAGCATATATAGCTGCATGTAATTAATAGCTGCATGTAATTAATCCAACCTCAGCTCTCTTATCTTATTGATTTAACCTTTTACAAAATATATTGAAGTGGAAGTTATGATTTGACGTGCTTTACATTTGGACTCACTTGCTTGATCACACAAGATGCATGATATTGAGATTGATTTGAAAGTTGCAGGGTTCTATTAGACCGGCACCTACATTGTTTTCTGCCACGCTGAGCTTGCCAAATAACTTGAAAACTTATTTTAGGCGCAAGACTAAAGGAGAAATTTAGTCTTTTGTTATTTTTTATTGTGGGGAATAAATTGGTTTAATAGGTTAGGGTTATGCTATGTGATTGTTGTTTAGAATCATAGGGTTAGGGTTTAGTAGAGATCACTTACCTCTTGAATTATAGATGCTAAGATTATGTTTTGGGAGAGATCTCATCCATTTCGAATTGTAAGTGCTTTTATCTCTTATGTACTTGTATTGTGTTGTTTTGTTTTGTTGAAGTAACGTATTTTGGTTGCCCGATTTCTATGAAAGTTCATATTTTTCCTATCAAATTCGTATCATAGCTGTTCCCTCATTTCCGCTGCTCGAAGCTAATGACAGGAAGCGAACGACATGATGTCTGTGCCTTTGCGACTGAATCTTGTGATGCAGTCGCGTTGGGAAGTCAATGATTGGATCACCCTAGTGATTGAACCTCATGGCACCGTTGCAGGAAGCCAAAGATGAGATCATGGCTTGTCGTTGCGTGCCCTAATCACAATACAATCACGATTTGAGTGTTGGGAAGCTAACGATGGGATTGAGGCATACCAACACACATCTTCGTGACTGAACATCGCGATATAATCATGATTTGACTGGGAGCCAACTATGGAACTGTACGCCTTCGTGACTGAATCAATACAATCACGCTTTGAGCTAGCTAGGAAACCAACGACGGGATTGTGGTGCACAGAGCTCTGCCTTCGTAATCGAAACTCTTCCTGGGAGTAATTGCAACCAAGAAAATAGATGCTGTGGAGGAGAAATTAGAGGAAGGGATGAGTCAAATCTGATATGAAATGGATGAGCATTTCTTGGTCATGGGGGGGGGGGGGGGGGGGGGGGGGGTTCTCTTTCATGGAGGGGAGATTCACGACCCTGTAAGAAATGATGAAGAAGGTTGTGGAGTTTCACGCAAACTCATTGACGCTTGCCCAAGATCGAGTAATGGTGTCTGGAGCGGACACAAGTGGCAGAAATTAGAAGGATTTGCGTGTCATCAGAGCAACGTTGTTGCCTTAGGTTGATATGGGGTCGCAGGATTGAACTAAGGAATCAGGAGCAGACTCGAGTGGTAGCACTTGGAAGTAATAGCATGACATCTGGATGATTGGAACAAATGAAAGCAGCTGGGATTGAGGGAAGGAGTTAGGAGTAGACTCGAGTGACAATATTTGGAGGGAATTGCACAATATCTAGAGATTTGAAATGAGCGACGAAAGGCATAACGGGACGGCGTGCGATTCAGGGTTGTAGAAGATCAATTTGAAGGATTTTGTCTTGGAACAGGGAACCACAGTGGGTGAGGCCCTAATGGAGGGTTGCAACCAATCAAGTTAGTTTCTTTTGATATATGGTAGACTTTTGGGTGGAGGAAATTTAGGATTTTATGGGAACAAGCGAGCTTATTATGGGGTAAGCCTGATTTATGGAAGAAAAGAAATATCTACGGGTCAAGGAAGGGAACCCCACTCCCACTTTGTGGGCAGAATGAGCTTTGACCGAGAAAATTAGGGAGGAGGTTCACACATAAGGAAGTTGAAGATGTCGCTCTTTAAAGGAGATGATGCCTTGGGTTTATCACATGGAAGAGACACGTGATACGGAGTTGACGAAGATTCCAACATCGATCCAATAGCTCCAACAAAAACTTGTAAAAGGTTTGCAATTGTTACGCGGATTGCCACCTTAGAGGGAACACGAGCATGCAATAACTTTGAGATCATACAACCTAGTGTGAGCCCATTCTCTAGTCCAGTTTTGCTAGTGAAGAAGAATGTTAGTTGACATTTCTGTGGGAATTATCAGACAATGAATAAAGAAATAATACTTGACAAATTTTCCATCTTGATGGTTGATGGATTACTGAACGAGTAGTTTGGGTTGCGATATTCTCCAAGTTTGATTTGAAGTTAGGATACCATCAGATTCGAATGCGGTTGATGAATATGTGCAGGACTTTATTTTGAACTGATGAGAGTCACTACGAATTTTTGGTTAAGTCGGAATGATTGCCAAATTATGACGCCACATGGGAGTTGTAAGACTGAATTTAGTACCAATTTTCTCTTTTCCATGTTGAACATAATGTGTTTTATTAGGAGGGGAGTAATGTTAGACCGACACCATAACATTTTCCGCCGCGTCGAGCTTACCAAATTATTTGAAGACTTATAGTAGGCGCAAGCCTAAATGGGCAATTTTGTCTTTTGTTAGTTGTTATTATGGTGTATAAATATGGTTTATTAGGTTAGGGTTATGCTATATGATTGTTGTTTGTAATCTTAGGGTTAGGGTTTGGGAGAGATCGCCAACCTCTCGAATTGTGGTGTTTATCTTTTATGTATTTGGGTTGTGTTATTTTGTCTTGTTGAAGTAGAGTATTTTATTTGCCCTAATCTTTGTGAAAGATTGTCTTCTTATCAGTTCCTTTAGTTAAGTAGAAAGAAACATTTGTATTGGTGTGCACTATTTCAGTGGTAACATCTTTTTACCCGTTGAGCTAATTTTGAATAAATAAATAACTCTTTAGTTCATCTATAATTAACATCAACTAAAAACTACCCACTTTTCAGTGGTTATGGTTGTAGCACGTTTGGCCAGTTAGGCTCCTGCTAGAATTAGAAATTGAAGATACTAAGGGTTTGTTTGGGGCAGCTGCAGCTTATTGAATAATCTGCTAGTAAGGAGCTGATCCTAATAAGCCGTTGATCAGTAGCTTGTGCGGATAAGTTGACTGACTGTTTGGTTTATGCTATTTGAAAACAACTAATTTATAACTATTTCTAGATAAATGACTATTCCGCCCCTTTTCATTTAAGTTTCTGAATAAATGACCGTTATGAATCAATCGCAGAGAACAATAAGCCACAAACCTCCTCTTCTGCTTAAAATCCACATTTTTCAACTCACATTATGATAAAGATGGAATCTTGCTGAAAAAATTAGAGTAAAAAAACCATTTTTTATCTTTGAAACAGAGTTGGCTGATTATTGATTATTAGCTCTCTGCAAGGGGTTGCACCAGAATTCGGTGCCAAAGAACTTCGACCACATTTTTTCCTCCATCTCTGATACCTTCCCACCGGCAAACTCCGCCAGAAGCTTGCCTGGTTTTAGACGCTCCTTTAAGATCAATGACTTCTTCCTTGCTAGAGCTCCGCCATTTGCCGGTGGCCCGCGTAACATTGGGAAGGGAGGGATCGCGATTCTGCGATTCTGCGATTCTGCAATTGGAACGACGACAAGAAATGAAGGACCCGTGTAATAGGGAACGACAACGCGAAACAACGAAGGGAATGGCGACATGGAATGATAAAGGGAACGGCGATGCAGAACGGCTGGGGTCGAGCGTGGAACAAAGGGCAAGCAGGTAAACGTCGCAGTAAGAACGTGGGTCATGGGATCGATCCCTCGGCTGCGTCTATTAAAGAAATCCGATCGGCATTTTAGGATACACAGATAAAACGTGAAAATTAAACGTATGAGGTGCGTTTTCAAAACGCAAACAGAACGTATAAGCTGCCCCAAACGGGGCCTAAATATAACTGCCTAGTTATTGCTGTTCAAGGAAAATATAATAGGAAACAAATAAAGGGGTGAATAATCACAATTAAGAGTAAATAAATTAAACATAATTATGAACATATAAATGATCCTCTGCCTGAAATCAAATATTCTCTAAATATAAACCTTTCATGGTATTATTTTCCTAAACGTGCGTCATATGCCAATACCCTCTTTCAAGCAGGAGCGTGTATTTATTTGTTACCTCTAGGCTATTAAATGAATGATAAAACAATATATGACTAGGAGCTTTGATAAAAATGTCCATCACATGTTCTAAACTAGAAACATGATTTGTAATAATCTTCTTGGAAAGCATTATATCATGTATAAAATGATAATTGATGTTTATATATTTAATTCATTGGTGAAAAATGGGATTGCTCTCAATAAGATGATAGTATGATTGTCTCATTATCGTGGAAGGTGATGATTTACAATAAAGCCAAACTCTCCCAAGTGTTTTAGTCCATATCATTTCATTTGAAGAGTGAGCCATAATTATGTATTCAGGCTCTTCGTTGGATCTATTTATAATAGTTTATATCTTATTTTTCTATGTGACAATGTACATACAACTAGGATATAATATCCTAAAGTAGACTTTTTATTTTCAGTGACAACATAATTAGCCTTGGAGAAAGCATCAATATTTAAGTGCAAGCTTTTTATAGGAGATTTTTTGATATATTTGAGAATAATAGCTTCCCAATAATTATATTTTGGATTTTACATGTGGTGGCTAATAATGCCAACATAAATGAAATATCGGGTATATTAATAATTAGATAAATCAACTTATGATTAACCTACTGAGATGGGTCATCCAATAACTCTTCATTATCGGAGTGGCATGATTTTCTATTGGTGTAATAGATGGCTAGTAACCAGATTTTTTAAGAAGATCAATAGGGCACTTCTTTGAATGAGTGACTCAACTATATAAAATAGTGCACTCGGGTATTTCTATTTGGCCTTTGAATTTAGTACAATTGGGTTAAGCTCCTATGTAGCCATTGCCTATTCTTATGCAGTCAATTTGATTCTAGAGTATCAAATATCTCCAATTTGGTTGTTTGACTATACTAAATTATCTAAATTAGGATTAAATTTGGATCAATTTTTTCTAGTTGAGGAATTAAAGTTGTAACAATTTTGTATCATAATTTTTACACGATTGGCCACTTTGGATCAATTTTGTGTAATTGAGAAACTAAGTTGGAGAAATGTGATACTTCACAATTAAATTGCCCACACTCAAATATTTAAGGACTATTTTGGAATTTAGTTTAATATAATCAAATAGTCTGTTTGAACGTCAAATATGATTGCATCCAATTTGTTTGATCCAAAATTATCTATGGTAATGGACAGACGCTATTTACAAAACTCACAAGTTTCTAGAAGAAGTTTGGGTAAGGAGAAAAAAGAAGAAGATAAAAATATAGAGCTACATAAAGAGGGAAATTTTTATCACTTAACTATGAAATATTGGGTGTTAAATCTTCTGCTCTGACGTGACCCCTCAGATCTGCATTTATAAGGTTTTTGGGCATGGTGGAGGCGCCACATTTGAATCGAACAAATAACTAGATGATATATTTGTTACAGATTCATGGACATTGTGATCAAAATACAATTGGCTTGCTGCACTGGGCGAGTGCTTTAGAGGTTTTGCTCGCTAAAGATGTTGCTGCTTTTATATAGGCAGGTTTATTTTGAGTCCCCCAAGAGAGCACCTTTGGGGTGGGCGAGTACCCTTTGATTTTGGTGAGTACTATTTGAGCTTGAATCGTCCCAACTAGGCAAGTACCCTGAGTTGGGATGAGTGATTTTGAGAGCTTTGCCCTTGTGACTTTTGAGAGCTCTCTTGGTTCCCGACGAGTTCATCTTGTTTCTTCTTCTTTATCCGAAACTGCATAGTTGGAAATGCACAGTTATTAAAAGAAGAGAATTCTTCACTGTAATCTTAAATTGATGGCATGGTAACTTCCTACCCTGGGTGACCCTGACGTGTCATTTGCTTTGATTTTAAACGAAAGTTAGTTTATCTATTTAAGGGTGAATTTAAAATAATAGCAGAGTATAATATCAAAATGCTTCTTAATTCTCTTACGAAGTTGTGAATGAAGTTTATTTTGATTTAGGAATTGTTGGTCGGATATCTCCAAAGACATGGGCAGCTATGGAAATATTTTTGTCATCCTTTGCAAGCGAAGATTATGAGGAGATGGCTTCTGCATTAATTGACATGGGTGCTACGGAACAGAATGTTGATGTTAAGGCCTTTGCAAGAGACCTTGAGAAGATTTTTGCATCCATACAGGTATGATAATAAGATTTTATTCAGAACCATTCATTCATTTTTCTACATTAAAATACTTATTTTTATATTTGTTTATATATACTTGGAGAATCAAAAGAAAAAGTTTCTATAAATAAAAATTGTTGGTGGTGGAGTAATAATGTGCAAGAAAAGATAAAATATAAGAAGTTACGTTATAAAAATTGGTTTAATTGTAAAAGCTTAAAGAACTGAGAAAATATCAAACGGCTCGCAGAGAGTCTAAAAGAACTATCTGTGACGCTAAAAATTTTGCTTTTAGTGTTCTTTATGATAGATTAGATACTAAGAGGGTGAAAAATATATGTATAAACTAGCTAAACAAAGAGAAAAGAAAAGTAAAGAGAAAATAAAAGTAAAGGTTTAACCCAACTAAAGTGTATTAAAGATGAAAATCAGAAAGTGCTTTTCATAGAAAAAGATATTCAACATAAGTGGGTGGGTTACAACATAGAAAAAGATATTCAACATAAGTGGGTGGGTTATTTTGATAAACTTTTTAATGAAATTTCTGAAAATACGATCGACATTAGTGATCTTAATCGTTAATATAAATAAAACGTTTCATTTTTACCGTCGTATTAGTAAAAAAGAAATTGAGGCTAAAGAAAATAAAGGATGAAAAGTCTGTAGGACTTGATGATATCCCAATTGAAGTGTGAGAATATTTAGGAGAATTGAGAGTTTCTTGGCTGACTAAACTAAAAGATGCTCGAGGAGTGGAGAAAGAGTATTTTGGTCCCCATTTTTAAGAATAAAGGGGATGCACAAGAGTGTGCAAATTATATAGGAACTAAGTTAATGTGTCATATTTTAAAATTATGGGAGAGGGTAATTGAACATAGGTTAAAACGTTTTACAAAAATTTCTCATAATCAATTTGTTTTTATGTCGGGCAGGTCTAGCATGGAAGCTATACATTTATTGAGAGGTTCGATGGAGAAGTTCAGAGATAATAAGGAGGATCTACATTTGATTTTTATTGATTTAGAAAAAGCTCACGATAAGGTTCCAAGAGATGTCCTTTGGAGCATTCTTGAGAAGAAAGGAGTTGATATGACTTATATTCAAGTCATTAAAGATATGTATACTAGCTGTTACTTGTGTTCAAACTGAAGGAGGATTGACCAAATATTTTCCTATTTTTGTTGGATTATCGGCTTTAAGCCCATAAAGCCCATATCTTTTTGCTTTAGTTATGGATGGTCTTACTAGACATTTACAAGATATGTTTCCTTGGTATATGTTTTTTGCTGATGATATCCTTCTCATGGATAAGACGAGAGAAAAAATTCAGGAAAAACTTGAATTATGGAGGTCTATACTAGAGTCTAAAGGCCTTCATATTAGTAGAACAAAATTGAATATATGGAATGTAATTTTAGTAGTAGTAGCAATAGTGACAGAAGTGTAACTTTTGGTGATCAAATTATTAAAAGGTGTGAACGATTTAGATATCCCGGGTATGTTGTTCAAGTTGGTTCGTTGAAATGGAGGAATGACTTGTGTTTTTTGTGTGCAAAAAAGTACCGCTTATACTGAAAGAAAAATTTTATAAGAGGGTGGTGAGACCTACAATGCTCTATGGCGTTGAATGCTGGCCTTTAAAAGAGAAGGCTAATACTAAGTTAAGTGTTGCCGAGATGAGAATGATTAGATGGATGACTGGCTTTACACTTAGAGACAAAATGTGAAATGAATATATCTGGGATAGGGTTTGTGTAGCCTCAGTGATTGACAAAATTAGAGAGGGTCGTCTTAGATCGTTTGGTCACATTAAACGTCGACCATCAGATGATCCGATTAGGAGAGTAGATGTTTTAGATTTGACTTTTGTTAAGAAAGACAGAGGTAGACCTAGGAAGACTTGGGCTTATTGTATAAAAAATGATCTTAATTTATTAGAACTAAATGAAAATATGACACTAAATATGATGCAATGGAGAAAAAGGATTCATGTAGCCGAACCCACATGTTGGGATTAAGGCTTTGTTGTTTTTGTTGTTGTTGTTGTTTTATATATATATATATATATAGACCACCTAAATCTTTTGTATCACATAAAAAATACCACTATTTTAACTTTTAAAAAGTGAAATAAAACTTTTCATGCATAGGTAAGGTGGTATGTATATAAAAATTGAAGTTGGTATGCTAGGTGCTTAAATGCATATGAATGGAGTGGTAGCATGTAAATCTTCCATTTTTTAATGAGCAGATTGCTCGAAATTTTTCTATCAAATCTTATGGAAGCATGATAAGAACTTTTTCTGTCAAGAGTGTAAAACTAAAGTTAGGAGACTCCAGTGCCTTGTCTCGCTGTCAGTTTTAATTGATTTATTCAATCGAGTTGCAATATAGTGTACAGTTAAATAACCACACGGAATAAACAGAACCATAACATGCAATGTTGGAGAATAGTAAGCAAGCAGCAAATGTTTTTACAAACTTAAAAAGAAGAAGAAAAAAATAAGGGATTCTAGGACTCTTTTAGAAGTTCAAGAAGTATATATATCCTTCCAAAAAAGTAAGGGTTTATCTGTGTAGCTAATATGTAGCGTTCCTTCCAAGGCCACAAACTGCACAGTGTTGAGCCAGTGTAATACTGGAGTTAATGCTATCATTAATTAATCCTGTGGTCTAGGTTTTAGTTAAGAGGTATATATATCCTTAATGGTACTAGGGACCTCATAGCCAACTCTCATAGCAAACTTTGACAGAGGCTAGAATTGTGGCAGTATTTAAGCAGAACTGACTCATGCAAGAAATTTGACTGCCTTTGATTGTCATGAAGTGACAATATTTTATCGTAAATTTCTCTGACAATAAATAGAAAATTTCTATAATAAAGAATATTAGCGTGCAAACAGAAGGTGGGGTTGTAGCTAATTAAGAGTCATAAAGTAACAATGAATTAGCATGTAAGGCAAGCAGAAGAGGCGGTAACCAACCTAGTGGGCAAGTTAGAAAAAGTGGCAGGAAAGATGAGTTGGTGATAAAACATAGAGTTGAAAACAATGATTTGGCAACAAAAACAAGGGACAAAACATAGTGATGTTAGCAAATGGCAGCCCATGAAAACGGTATAATGGGAAAAAGTTACTTCATGTGCTAGAACTTCTGAACTGCACGAGTAGAGATTGGAAGTCCATTAGATGAGATGAAACCATGTAGTGAAGAGTCAAACTTAACAAACTTTTCAAATTATTATAGAACACTTTCCATTTGTAAACATGTTTAACATTTAATAAGAAAATGATAAACAAAATATAATAATGGAACTTATTTAGATCACCACTTTATATGGTTTTGACATGAGCATGCTTCTTGATTTTCATTAAAGGATATTGTGGATTGTGTTTATTCTATCCTGTGGGTTTTTACCACTGTTAAGTCCAAGGTTGAATTTAGATATTTGTTAATCTGAGAATCTCAAGAAATATCTAGGCTCACATGCTTAAACACAATATGATACATTTGTTACATTGATGAATTTTATGGCTCAACTTGAGAAACAAAAATAGAAGAGGATTAAGAGTTCGAGGGATGATAATGATTTGGAATTTTGCCTTTTTGAGTTCGAGGACATATTTTTGAAAGAGGGTATGGTTAGGTATAAATTCATTGTGGGTAGTCTCCTTAGGGAAATGTCGTGACAAAAAAAAAAAAAAAGGTTATGCACTTTTAGAGGGGGCCAAATGTATGTTGTCCGATGCCAACCTAATCAAAGTTCCTTAGGCAGATGCTATTAATATTATACTATTTTGTGAATAGATCTCAATCTACCACTATTGCGTTGAAGCTTGGAGGATTTGTGGGAAGATCATCAATATTTCGCTAGTCTTAGTGTCTTTGGTTTTTTTGCTTGTATGAGAGCTAAAAAATATATATTCCATGTATGCATTTGGATTGATGGGATAAAGGCTTTAGTGTATGGATTTAAAGTTACTTGAGTTTGTAATCACGTTAAGTTTAAGTATATTGTTATTGTAATAAAAGATTGAATAGGTAAATGATAGCTCATCACCAAGTCTATAAATGAATTGAGTTGAGCTGGTTTTTTGTCTTATTTAAGTTTGTTCGTTTACTGTTGTATTGAGTTTGGGGCAAGCTTGAACATGATCTATGCTTTAAAATCTTGTTCAAGCTGATTTATTAGTTTTATTACCGACCTTGAGCCATAATATAGCCTAGCTAATTATATATTTGATGCTAGTGATTCAAATGTATAGCCTAATTCTTAAGTGTCTTTGGCTTTTTTTCTTTTTCTAAGAGCTAAGAAATATATATTCCTTGTGTATGTTTTTGAATTGAGGGGATAAAGGCTTTAGTGTATGGATTTAAAGTTACTTGAGTTTGTAGTCACTTAAGTTTGAGTATATTGTGGATGTAATAAAAAAATGATTAGATAGATGATAGCTTATCATTAGGTCTATAAATGAATTGAGTTGAGCTGATCTTTGTCTTATTTAGTTTGCTCGTTTATTTTCGTATTGAGTTTGGGGCAAGCTTGAACATGATCTATGCTTTGAAATCTTGTGCAGGCTTATTTATTAGTTTTATTGCTGACTATGAGCTATAATATAGCCTAACTAATTACATATTTGATGTTAGTGTTTTAAAAGTATAGCCTGATTACTTAACAAGATTGAATTTAGATTTTAAATAAACTGGCTTAATTCATTGGTTTTATTTTAGTTGTTTTATGTAGTTTAGATATTAATAAGAAACTTGTTAAGTTTTCACAGCTAACTATTTTAGTTGTTATTTTCTATTACTTATATCTATAATCATATACATAATTTTTGAAGTGTTTAAGATATATGGAAATTGATACAAAACCTAGATAAAGTACAAAAACAAGTAACTAAACCTTCATGAAATGAGCATTTTATCTAGTGCGTAGTGAGTTATTTAACAATAAATAAACATATTTACAACCATAAATGAATAATCAAATCAATATTTAAATTTGTTCATTAATATGATAAGATTTTAGAATTGGGGTTTTTACATACCAGCCACTCAAAATTTTAAATATAATATTTAATACTAGAGTTAACCTAAACCACAATTAAAATAAAAGTTTTATTGCTGAAATTCGAAAGGGTTATAAACGATGACTCTTGATGGTAGGAAAATAACAACAAAAATATAAAAGTCACCTTAGGGCTAGGGCGAAGGCGGTGAGCACCGGCTGCACAACAGGTGGGTGCTGGATTGGAGGTTGCAGTAGTTGCATGGAGCCTGAATAGGGGCAGGCTGGTGGCTAGTTATAGCAGGTTGTAGGGTTGAGTGGGGACTAAGGCAACAGGTGGGGCAGGATATGATATTACGGAGAGCGGGTTGAATGGTGGGATGGGCTATGGGAGTAGGTGAGGGCAGGATGTGGGATTACGGGGAGTAGATTGTATGGGAAGATGGGCTGTGACAACACGTTGGGCTAGGATGTGGTGTGACAGGGAGCAGGTGTTTAGTGGGAGTGGGTCACGACAATAGGTGAGGGAAGTATTACAACACAGTAGAGTGGGGTAGGGACTGGTTTAGAGTGACATGGTGGGTTGGCTTGGATGTTGAAGGCAACAATGGAGTGGTAGATGAATCACAGCAGGGGAGGGGATTGGGAAAGTGGATTGAAAAATGAGAAGGGGATGTGAAGGGAAGTTGGGGTAGATAAGTGTCTTCTGCGGGATCAAGTTACAACCGGAGCACCCATCGAACCTGTGGGGAAGATCACCACCTCGTACGAGTTACAACCAGAGCACTTTCCCGTCGTTGGATACAACCTTAGGAGGGAAGACAACCCCCAACGGCTGATTAGGATAGAAATATGAAATCTGGAAGATAAAAACTGAATCTTAAGACAACAAACAACATATGCATAATAGTACCAGTTAGAATAGGAAGGAATCAGAATAAGAAGAAAATAAAATTAGGAGTTAAAATATGAATGAATTAGAATAGGAATGAAATAGAATTAGGAAGGGAATAAAAAAATGCAAGGAATAGAAGAGGAATGAATAGAAATAGACAAGGGAGAGAGATAGGATTGGAATAGAAGTAGAATAAGTTCCCTCTATGGAAGGGAGTAAAATAGGAAATCGGGAGAGAAAAGGGGTGGCAATTCCAGCCCCCATGAAGGTTGGCCGGTTCAACTAGCCACCCAACAAGCCCAGTGTTAGTCTCCGGGGGTTGGAGGAGTTTTGACTTCCTTCGTCGAAGCTTCTGGCTTCTCATAGCACGTAGTCAATTCAACTATGTTGAAGGTAGTAGAGATAGTGTAGTCTCCTGGTTGGTCATGTCGGTGTTGTCATTACACAACATGTTTTTATAGAACAAATATGCATTATTTCTTGGCACGTTTTTGAGCTAGAGCTGTATATAGATGTAGGTTCCCACAATGTCACTTAAGCTCTCAAGGCTGGAACATTCTCCTGCTTTTCATACTCAACGGATAGGTCCTGAATCCCATTGAAGAATTTCCTTCCCCATCTAGTTTCTTGGACAAATTTCAAGACTGGGGTTCGTCTCTCCTACTTTGATATTGATGGTTGGTACTGCCTATATTTCAACTTTTTATCCTAATTTTAGTTTTATGGACTTTTCTTTGCTCACATCTGTCTATAATATGGGAAGCCTTATTTAACACTACACTCTGATGCTGGTGCTGCGATCCTTGGACACTAATCACTTTATTTGGGCAATATAGTGCGCTGATTCGAAGGGACACCCTAACATTAATAGAATGATTTAAATGACTCATGCCATAGTTTTTCAATAAAATTTTTATGCTGGCTGTCTACTGCCTAACGTAACCCTCAACTTTTTGCATCCGGAACTTGGGAATCTGCAATGGTAGTATTTGAAAATTTGTTTCATGGAAATTTTACATTAGATGCCCCATATGCTGCCTATTCAAATTGTAGACTTTGAAATTCTGGGCTTATGCTGTTGAGGTTTCCTAATTAGATTTTGAATAAAATTAGGTTTGAATGAGATTGCAGTTTGGAATTAAATTCAATCGATATTATGTCAGTAATATCTACTAATTTATGAATGAACGCCTATGAATATACGTTCTAGGGTACCTGATTAGAAAATTTTAATTGAATGAAATTTCTTCTTTATTTTTTCAATTTGGTTGTATGATTTCTTTAAGTGTATAAAAGTGTGACTAGTTGTTTCTATGGATTATTTGTATGATGTGAGGCCTACATTCTTTTGGCGAATTCTTTCTTTGACTAAATTTTTATATATGTTTTGTTATTGTTTTCCTATTGCTCTTGATATTGTTCAAATTTGAGGCAACTAGAATTCTTTTCGTGGCGAATAAATTGTTTGTTGTTTGAGTTTGAATTTTTTTAATTAATTTCTTCATATTTCTTCAATGATGACATTATTGTTAAAGTTTTAAATCTCATATTTACTATTTTGCATTTAAAGAAAGTAACTTGTTGGTTTGTGGTCTATGAATCCTAGGTTCCCTTACCTGGTCTACATACATCATATAATATTGGTTGCATTATGTAATATTAACATATGATATCATTGGCATAATTGCAGAATCTTCCTTTAGTTTACCCAACATTCTTTTTATCACATGTTTCAATAAAATTTTACTCAAGTCGCTCAGTCTTAACTTAGTGGGATAAAGGTTTATTGCTATTTTTGTTGTAGTCTTAACTTAGCAAGTTATATCATGAACCTTCAATTTGACAGATCCAAGATATGTAAACCCGTTGCACCTTAATATCACCTTAACATCTAATAATATTTACTCAACCATTATTTAAATTATAATATCTTAATCTCTTAAACCTTTTGTCCATTTTAATTTCCAATCATTGCTCTAGATGTCTCACTCATCAGAACTAGTTGCGGTGGCACGGACACAGGTAAACAAATCTGGGAAAGAATTTATAGAATATTTTTCATTGCACTTGGTAGTTTCTACAATGCAGTCTTACAAAATAGTCCACCCTGCACTAAAAGTCTGATATAAAGTGAAAAGCAAATTAGAAAGATATGCAGTACTTTTAGATTAACAATTTACAATATCAACCTTACATTATTTATCTGCAACCATTTGAATATGCATGCATGATTACTTAGATTAGTCTGCATGTTCTGGCTATGTAAAAGCTAATCCAATAAATGATCTTGTGGGGGAAAAAAACCAAATGGCTCAAACAGTAATGATGTGTAGTCCACAAATTAACTTCAAAACCTGCTTGCTTTCACATTCGCATAAAATTTTTTTCTTTATTCTGACAGGAATTAGATACAGAGATTATGGTGGCGACTTCTAGAGGACCAAATTCACGAGCAGCTATAGCGGCTAATGTTGTCGTTGATGAGAGGCAGATGAATGCATTATTTCTTGATGTGGTAAGCTGCTTCAGATTTAATAATGGGGCATCTACATACATACCACACCAATATTATGTATTTACATATCTAACACCTAAACATTCATATTTATGTGCATAACACTCAAATCTTTTAACAACACAAAAAATTCCAGTTTTCTTTTTTTAATGTAAAATACATATTTTCATGCATAAATTTATGACACCAAAGTGTTATATAAATGTAAATTTCAAACTTTGGGTGTTAGATATGTAAATACGTAACAATTGTGTGGTACGTACGTAAACTTCCTTAATCGAATCATTAAGTTTAGACTTCCTCCACCACCTCCTCTCCAATCTACTAAAAATTTGCTCCTGAAATTGAACTTCCCGAACTAAGAATTAGCTGATTTGCAGGTCCGGGTGAGCGAATCATATGGTCTGAGATTTCCGAAGGAGTTTGCTTTGCTTCTGAAACAACTACTCTACTTTGATCGCTATACTCGACTGCTGGCTCCTAAATTGAACATGCTTCAGGACCAGAGGATCACTATAGTTTCCAACCGAAGGACAAGAAAATAATTAGTTGTTTATAGAAATAAAGGGAATGTATATGACAATTAAGTGTATGAATATACTTAAAATCAGGTGAAAATTAGAAGAAATTCTGATTAGTGGATCGTGGCCGTTGATTGAGTTTGATGTTTTATTTTGTAGCACACAATTCTCATGTATTTATATATCTCACTCGCAAATTTTCATGCTTACATATATAGTGCATAGGAATTGTGTATGTAAATGTGACGACCTGACTTGATGCCTAGAATTAATAAAGGAAAGGACTGCGGTAGGATGATATTAATATTTCATGTTATTTTTCATAATTCTTTCATAAATTTTTAATATATGAAGAGTCATTAATTCACAAAATATAATAAATTAAACATTCAGAAATAAAAAATATGATTTGAAAAGCACGACTCAAATCCAGTATTGAAGTATGTGAAGGAACCAGTAAATAGAAACTACAAATGCAATGTAACTATTACAAAATAGCTGCACTTTTCTTAATGTAAACCAAATTTCTAATATCAGACATATAAACCTAAAATATTTTCTCTCCTAAAAGAAAATATTAATTTCAACTATAAATTTTGTTTAGTGAGTAATTATAATATTTATATGCATTAAATTATGATGATTATGTTAATATAGTAATGAAAAAAAGAAAATATAGCTCAATATTTTATAAAACATTGAATTTTCACTTTAATTATATCCCTTTTTGTTTTACTTAAGTATTATTATTTTAATATCATTAATAGTCTTAATAGGATTATTAAATGTTTCGTCAAAAATGTGCTCGGAGGCACTAAAAAAAAACGTACCTGAACATATAATCAAAATGTGCCAAAATGTTTTCTCAAATTGTACCTAAAAGTGCACTTTTTCTATTTTATTTAACGTCCATGAGTACATTGCATCTCGTGCTAATATCATCTTGGGATAGTTTTGTATGACTTAATAATTTATATAAAATTTCATGTCAAGTAAAATTCCTTAAAATATAATTTCATCTTTAATTTGTTTTCCTCCTTTCTCTTATGTCATTTCATACTTTTAAATGTAAAGGCATAACAGAAAATTTTATTTTAAGCGATTTAATAAATATAGTATTTATTTACTAAAAATAATAATTTAATGCATAAAATAAAATAATCACTCACATTTACTTACTAGAGACCTATTGACCCGTGAGAAATGCTTCAACACTCAGGTAGATTACGCAAGTGCACCGTCAAAGTAGTATTAGATTTTTTTGAGTCTGGAATGTAGATCCCATAGAGAAACGGGGTGAACAAATTTAGGAAAAGGTTCTAGCTTACTAAATTCGTCCTCAGTTTGCAATTTATTGAAATTTAAGTTGTGTTAACAGTTCCTACTACAGTGCAAATAAGTTTAAAGTTTACCCCTATAGAAATTCTAATTACTTTACTTGAATTGGTGATAATCGGGTGATAAAGCAACTTTCCCTTGTAGTGATAGTAGTGGGTTGTCGAAAATGAGAAAATGTAAATTGAAATGTGGCTAGTGACAAATAGGAGTATTTATCTTTTTTACACTCTTCCGAGTGCCTAAAGAAGTTTGGTTAAAATGGTCTTAATTCCTTAAGCATTACATTGAACCCAACAATGATTATTTCCTTATATATTTGCATCTCCCTATAGTATACTTTTGCTTCATACTCTATAGTTTAACGGGATCTTCTTAGATGTCACGCCGTAGTTCTCCCGAGTCATTATGAGTTTACAATGAATTTTAACAAATCATTTGACTAGAAAGATAAGTAAATGAAATATAGAAGAAAAATCATCACATTAAAAGGTTAAAGACAATTAAAAACAATTTCCACATTCCTACACATCCTACAACATCACCACAAGGAAAAGGTAGAGGAGATTACTCATTGCAAAACTTCATTGAAATCAAGAGAATCCACATATCAAAGTGTTTACATAAAAATACAATACTTAAAGACAAGAATACTTATCTCTCTCCCTCAATACAACCTTTAGAATGCTTCGCAAAAGCCCTTGCTGCTTTCATGTAAACTCTCCTCACTTTAACGCTCAAATCCTCACTAATTCAATACTATAAACTTGCTCTCTCTAACCCTCAAGCAAGCCTTCTACTCTAAGATATCTCTTTCATAATCAGTAGAATTTCCAATCCTTCCACTTCAAAAGCCCTCTTCAAAAGTCTTCAATTTTTCTTTAAATAGCGTCCAATATCCTTTGTTCAAATTGCCTCCGGTTCGCCGAAATGACGCTTCAAACAAGTCGGTCAAACTGCAGTAACTGCACCCAGTTCGGTTTTGGCGCCTAGGCGCCCAACTATTTTGACGCCTTTTGGCGCCAAGGTTCTGGCCTTCACATCTAAGCGCCAAATTCTCGGTTGCATAGATATGGAGTTGGTACCTAGGTGCCCCAAAAGTTTGGCATCAAGGCCCCTGCTCACTATAATGCCTTTTGATCCATTTCACATCTTTTTCACTCCATGTCTCTTCCAATTTACTCTACTCCTAATATCTTTTATACTTGTAAAAAAAACATAAAAATAGTTTCTTTTAAAGTACAATTTCACCCAAAAATATGTGCAGAGCATAAATAAATTCAAGCAATCTTTTCATACATCAAAATCTCCCAAATTAAAGGTTACTTGTCCTTAAGTAACAGTAAAATATTAATATCAAATTAATTTAATTTGAGGGAGTGGGTATCATTAAGAATATCAACAACTTTGCCTCAGAAAATTCACAGTGTATCTTTAGGTTTAACTCCAATAAATTAGCGTAGACCTAGGGTACAAGAAACCTTTCATTCAACAAGAAAACATGAATTCTTATTTTATTTTAAAAAGAAAGTAATACTTGTTTGTTATGATATCTTAGATAATAGAAAAATTGACTTTAAGCTCTCTACTTAAATGATTTCTAGTACACCATAAATACAAGCAAGCTTAGGAGTGCAATAAAGCTTCAACTCTAAAAAGGGTCTAGTGAAACTAATTTTTTATAAAACTTCTCCTCAAGCTTCTCCTCTTTCTATATTATCTTCATTTCTCTTTTTTTCTTTTTCTTTTTCTTTTTTCTTGCTTTAGGATGCATATTTTAGTCCTTAGCATAACCTTAGGAGGATTACTATATCTAAACGACTTTAAAAATTTTGAATTCCACTATCACCTCCTTAAAATGACACATACCACATCCCTTAACTTTTTAGGCTTGAAAATTTAATAAGTACTTGTTAAAACTAAAGATTTTATAGAGACTCAATTCTTAATAAATATATATCTAAGAAAACTTAATTTCAAAAATACAATTCTTTTCAAAACAAATAACCAATTCATTTTTTCTAATTATTGAATTACAAATAACCTTAACTCTATTCTAATTTTATTTACATATAATCTAAAATAAAGAAACTATGTTTTTCCTTTCTAAGAAAATATTGTAATTTTAAATCAGCTCCACATTCCTCAAATTTAAGAATATAACAGTTCAAATATATGTTTTTGAGGATAAATAAATTTAAGCGTTTACATTGATTTTTCTCTCACCCTAACTTAATTTTTAGCATATAATACAATTTAAATCATGAATATAAGCAGGGAAAATTTTCACTGACATACTTTCTACAACATGTGTCTATTTCAGAATTAACTGTTTTAAGCACAATTTACATATATGTCGTAACAAGTACATCAAAGCTAATAGGGGTGAAATAAAACTATATCAAAGAAAATCTAAATATCTAAACAGATAAACATGAATTAGAAAAAAAATATAAACTAAATAAAAGAGTACAACAGTAGTAGCAACAAATAACAAAAAATATAGTGCACTACATTCATAAACATAATAGCAATAAAATTATATAAAATCAATCCTCATCATGATCATCATCTTTGTCTAATCTTCAACGAAATTTCCTTCCATTAACTGACGGGTGCTTTACATATAATTTTTAAAGATAACCTTCTGGAATAGTAACACTTATAATATTAAGATCGGCTTATGTGTTGCTAGTCTTAAGTGTCACCCTGCCCGATAAAATATGCATCTCTATTAGTTCAACAAACAGAAACATCATCTTGCCCCCTCTCGTAGTTGGTCGGTTGAATCATCAAAAAGAAGAACCATGTCATAAATAAGAAGTAACAAAGTGAGATGGACCAGTCCAATGAATAAACCCAACATGACTCTGGAAAGTCCTATACTCAATTGAGAACTAGAGTGTAGAGGATAACGTTGATCCTACTACCTCCAATAGTCATACTAAAGTCTAGTCACAACGAGAAGACTAAGGATTTGTTATCTCATGTTACACAATCATAATCAAAATACAAAATCACAAATTTTAATGTTCAAATTAAAACAAACCACATCACAACAACAAAAAACACAATCACCACACAACATGAGTTGCCTCACATGAAGCGCTTAGTTTAACTTCCTCTGCTTGACGATTCCAAATATTACATGAAATGACCCAACATTAAAATCTTATTTACTAGAGGTCTTTCCTATTCTAAATAGGGTTTAAGCCACTCTCTATTTGCTTTAAATGTTCTATGGCTTTTAGGATCTCTAATATCAATAGTACCAAAATGGTAAACTTTTACTACAATAAATGGTTCTGACCATATTTAAGTTTTTTGAGAAATAATTTTAATTGAGAATTAAACAACAAAACCTCATATCTAGGCTCAAAATACTTCTTAATAATTTTTCAATCGTGCAATTTTTTCATTTTCTCTTTATAAATTTAGACATTTTTGTAAGATTCTTGTCTAATTTCTTGAAGTTCATTTAATTGTAACAGTCTCTTCTCACCAGCTTCCTTTATATTGTAATTGAACTATATAATATAACAATAAGCTTTATGTTCGAATTCTACTGGTGAGTGACAGATTTTGCCAAATATGAGCCTCTATGGAGACATTCTATAGTTATTTTTTATGCAGTTTTGTAGACCCATAATGCATCATCTAATTTCAAAGATTAATCTTTCTTATTAGGTTTGACAGTTTTTCCAATGTCCTCTTAATCTAAAGGTTAAAATCTTCCTCTAAACCACTAGTTTGAGGATGATATGTTGTGGCAATCCGATGTTTAATTCCATATTTAGTAACTAATGTCTCAATTCTTCTGTTTATAAAGTGGCTCCATCTATCACTAATGATCACTCTAGGCATCTCAAATCTACTAAAGATATTTTTCTTATGAAAATTTAGCACACTTTGTGATCACTCCAGGCTCTACCAAATTGTGATGCTCAATTTA